CGTATGTGTACAATGTACTGATATGTTATGTTTCCCTATGCTTCCTTTGAAAATGTTTGTATCACATATTTGTTCAGTCAATAAACGAATTAAAAACAAAAATGTGCAACACATTAATTCAGCAACTAGTATTAGTAGCAAGCTCTCATTTCATTTTATGCAAGCACCATATACAGGTGAAACTCGAATAATTAGAATATCGTGCAAAGTTAATTTATTTCACTAATGCAACTTAAAAGGTGAAACTAATATATAAGATAGACTCATTACATGCAAAGCAAGATCATTCAAGCCGTGATTTGTCATAATTGTGATGATTATGGCTTACAGCTCATGAAAACCCCAAGAACCCCAAATCCACAACCTCAAAAAAGTAGATTATTACATGCAATCAATAAAACAAGGATTGTACATAGAACAATATCGGACCTCTGAAAAGTACAAGCATGCATATGTACTCAGTACTTGGTTTGGGCCCCTTTTGCAGCACTTACTGCAATTACTTTTGCACGATATTCTAATTATTCGAGTTTCAGCTGTACAGCTCTTAGCCTGCACAGTTTTACATTAATAATAACACAAAAACAAAACAGTAATGCTACTATCAAAACTACTTTTACTGCAAAATTGTACTAACTAATATGACATCAAGAAATTAGACCACATGGCTGCATTTAAACAATGCAGTCCCCACCATTTACTTCTGTCCTCTAAGTCCAGTCATTTGATGTTGTTTTAGTTTTTTCTGTTATGCTTGCATGCCATATGTACCCTGGTATCTAATGTTTTTACACCCACACTCGTTGAAATCAATTGCGACACAGTTCTCGAAAATGGTCAACTAATGTGATGTTTCATCACTATAGCAACTAATTACCCAAAATGCTTTTCCTGGCCCTTGAGCTGTAATCAGGTGGCCTAAAATGTCCAAAATGTTTTTTAAAAATGTAATTGGAGACTTAATTATGGTATCATTAAGGAATATATTCCTAGACAGGACATAAAGAGCGCTTTTGGCTCCTATTTTGAACTTAATGTGGGTACGGTCTCGCAGACGTCAACTCTCTGGGAAGCTCACAAAGCAACTATTGAAGGTCACTGTATAGCCTTAGCATCCAAACTTAAAAGGGATCGAATGGCTACCACCATTCGCTTAAAAGACGAGATAGGGGGGCGTGGCCGGTGCTCGAGCTGTATGGAAGCTGAGTGAGAGAGCTCCGTGCAGCATCGCGCCCTGAGGCTAACTACAGCGACATCCAGCAGACTGCCAGACATCCCCAGGCTAAATCATATCCCCTGCACCCGGAGGAGATGTCGAAGAAAAAAAAAATGGCTCCCGCCCGCGCAAGCTGACTGATTTTTTCGCCGCGCCGTCCCGCAAGCGCGGTCAAGATGGCGGCGGCCCGGCCGGATCGATGAGGCCTAAGACTCCGGCTGGAGCCACAACCTCCCACTCGCATGACGGATCACCTGGATCCCCACAATCAGGGACCGGATCGGGGGCCTCGTCCACCCGCGGTACTCCGCTGGAGGGCAGGAGCCCTCTGAAATCCAGACCGCGGCTCGCCTCAGGAACAGAGGCCCACAATGAGGTGAGCGATAATAACACATCAATGGAGGACACTAGGGAGCTAATTAACATAAAGCTGTTATCAGAGGACAAATCGGAGCTCGCACGAAAAGGCAGAGGGCATGCCACCTCGCACACCTGCTCTCTCAAATTCGCACATTAGAAGTACATGCTGGAGTAGGGATTTCACAGGTAACTTTCGATACCTGTGAAATCCCTACTCCAACATGGAATTACTTTTACACATGAAAACCCAGCCCCAAGGGCATATCCCTATTTTATAACATGCTCCACAATAAACTAAGATTCAGTAAATTCCGGTCTCTCCAACAGTCGGAGGAAGAATTTGCGACTACCTTTTCACCGCAACAATGGATGAATGCTCTTGCTTCTACCCACAAGGCGACCAAATGTGTCGACCTCTGGGCGCTGGCCCATAAAAGTTTTTTAGGTAGTTTTGACTGTGACACCAGATTTTTTTATTCAGTGGGTATAGGCCTGAATTGACCAGTGGAAGTAGCAGTCAAAACAGATCTTAAAGTATCAGCTTAAAGGGCAACATTACAAACAAATAATCCCTACATAATATATGTGGGGATGCTGTAAACTTGCACATGAAGTGGAGCACTTTCACAGAGCTGCCAGACCCACCAGACAAGAACCCACTACATGACAATCCTCTCTCATTGACACTCCAGTCTCAAATGACAGCTCACTGGCCAGCTACCGAGTGTAAACAAACTGGCCAGGTCATTAACCAAATATATTGGGATATGGGGATGAGACCCATGACCTTATGGTGAATGGAACAAAAGCCTCACAGTGAATTTGGGTGTTTGTGTAAGGAACTTGTTGGAATCTGGAAGCGCCCTTCAAGATAAGGGACTCCTAGTGAATTTCAGTATTGGGCTACATAGTGTGTACCCTCATGCTCACTGTGCCATATTGTTCTACATTAATGTAAATTGCAGTGTGGTGGGCTACATATTGTGCACCCCCAGAATTCACAGTGCATAAATCTAACAGTACTTTCTAGGACTAAATGTTGGGCTGTGTGCCGGCAACAACTTTATTTTTTATGTTTTACCTTCTCTTTCATGTGAATATTTCTTTTTTATTTACAGTTAGGTTTAAAAAAACAAAAATAGGCTTATGGTTTAGTTTATATGGTTGTAGTTTAGTGTTTTATGTGTTATATTTGTGCTATTGCTGCTAATAAAGTTAAGCAATCCCCTGTATTCATAATCTTATGCATAATCTTATGCAGACCTAAAGGGTAAAGTTTCTACATGCGCACCTAGTAGGGGATGAGCAGCTTCTGTATCTGAAAATGAAAAAAAAATTGAAAATTAGAAGAGATGCTTCTGAAGATCCTCTTGTCTGCATTTCAAGATAGTGGCAATATCCCCTCTCAGCAACACTTTTAAGTAATTTCTACAACCACAGTGTACAGGCCTAAACCATATGATTGCAGACTACGTGGTGTCCAGTGATAACTTCTAATTTTTATTTAATTTAAAAATCTGCCTGGTTTTTACCTTTTTAAATTGTGGCCTCATAAAACTGCTTACGTACGGTTAGGGAGTTTGTAAAATAGCTCTGGCCATTGTCTCTGAAATAATGCACTCTAAGTGCAAATTATTGATTCAAACCTGCCTTGTCTTTCCCCCTGAAATTGCAGTCTAGTAAAACTGCATGCATACTGTGCATTGGTCTGTAGAATAGTTCTGGCTTTTGTCTGTGAAATAACACACACTCAAATTTTTAATCCATGATAAAACCTGCCTCATCGCTCCCTCCTAAATTGTGCCCTATTAAAGCTGCTTACATGCTGTGCATTAAGCCTGTACAATGTACAATTACAATATATTATGGTTATTGTCTTTAGAATACTACAGTCCTGTTTTTTATTTTAGAATTTAACCTTAAGTCTCATTTCTTCCATTTGAATTTGTGGCATAATGAAACTGTATAATAACTGTACAATGAGTCTCTACAATATTTTTGACTGTTGTCTCTGAAATAATACACTAATATTTTATTTCAGGATAAAACCTTGCTTGTCTCTGGAATGTGGGGTTGTAGATTTGAAGTGTTTTTGTGCATTCCGTTTTAGCATGTTATTAATTTTAAAACAATACAGTGTGGTACTACAAAATAGGAAAATCACAAGCTATACAATTAAACTTGGTCATTGGTCTGTTAGTACAAAGTTGAGGGCTTTTTTTTGTAGAGTAAACATTCCTATAACTTTTAGATCTGTTTTGACTTCTACTTCCACTGGTATAAATTCAGGCCTATGCCCACTGGATAAAAAAAATCTGGTGTGACCGTCAAAACTACCTAAAAAAATGTTTCTTTAAGTAAAAAAATTATCACATTGGGATGCTGCTCCTGTAGCTATATCATAGCCAAGTATTAATGTAAAAGGGGAAACAAATTACATTTCCAAAGTATGTAATGCTAAAATACGGTGTTGCTGACATTATGCTTGAGAATTGTGCTGTTCCATAAGCCACATACAGCTTAACCCATTTGCTGCCAGAGCCATTTTTGTTTTTGCAGACATGTTAAAATGTTAATTGTTGGCCTGAAGATTATTTAACCCCCCCAGAATTATATATTTTCTGAAAACAGAGGTCCTGTAGAAAACAATAGTAGCAGTTGGAATGTTTTATGTCGCATAATATTAGCACTACTGTTCATCAAATCCAAATTTACAGTAAAAAATACTCAAGGTAATTTTAGTGCACATAAGCACAATATATTCCCAAAGTTTTTAGAAAAATATAAAAGAGGAGGTTGCACCTAGTAAATAAATACCATATATGTTAACTTTCAAAATTGTGTGCACTCATGAAACAGTGAAAGAACACAGTACCCCAAATTGTCAATAGATAGCACTTTAAAAGCCTGTGCAGGTACAGTCTTTGTATTTATGTAAATGTATGTTTGTAGTAGTATGTGCATGTATGCAAGGGACTATGACAAATGTTTTTAGATTTATTTTATTTAACGTTTTAAACTTTGTTTACCTAATTTTATTGCTATCAAATAGTGGGTTAATTAGCAAATGGATGTTTGCTGATTGATCCCTCTCCACCACACTGGTAATGCTGCTGTAAAACAAAATTAAAACAACATTGAAACAAAACCACTGAAGCTGCCCTTCAGTTTTAACATTTTAAACAAAATTAGAATAAAATTGACACCAAACCATTATAGTTTCCTTTTACTGTAAATTGTGAAATATAATAGCATATTTTATTGAGTAGCAAGGGCCATTTTGTCTACCACTCAATTTTAAAATTATTTTTATAATTTAAAGTGTTCTTGACTATAGTAATTTAAACATTGTTTTACTATATCTGCCTATATAAAATGTTGTTTAATAGTAAAACAAGTGTGTTTTTAATTTCTTGTTTTACAGGTATTCTCTTGATCCAAATGACATGAACAATAATTTTTCTGTTGATGCAATTGAGGGAACCATTGCAACAAATGAACTATTGGATAGAGAGAGCACTGCACAATTTAACTTATCAATAATTGCAAGTAAAATTAGTAAGTATACCTGTCCCAATAGGTCTCAAAGTAATTATACGTGGGTCAGGTTTATCACATCATTAAATCGTGATACATTACATCATTGCAATTTTCTACCACTGCCATTAAGCCAAGGACAAAATTGGCCCTTCAGCAACAGGGAAGCATTTTTCATGCAAACCTGTTAGGCTGGGTTCACACCTAGGCGTATCGAATATGCGCGTTTCGTGTCACGCGTTTTTACCGCAATTCACAGTTAAAAAGAACGTGTGACAAGCGCGCATTTCGGAGGGCTACCTGGCTGTATCCCAAAGGATACGCGTGACAAAAACGCCCCAAAGAAGCTCCTGTACTTCTTTGGGCATAGGGCGTTTTGTAGCGCGTTCATACGGCCTGTAATACGCCCTGGTGTGAACCATACCCATAGAAAATAATGGGATTTCGGTGTTTGAGTGTTTTGCAGAGCGTTCAAACGCACTACAAAACGCCCAGGAGTGAACCAGGCCTTAGTTGTGCATGTCTTCCCCAGCACTGACTGACAGCAGATACATCCACCTAAATTGCTGATTGATGCATCAGTTAAAATTGACTACATAGTTCTCTATTGCTGGGGCCAGCCCACCATTATTAGCACTGTCTGTGTTTGACCATGTCAAGTCAGTGACAGGAGTGTGAGGTCACATGAAATGGGGGGTTACATGGACATTTGTATTGTCAATGTGCAAATATACATAAAAAATAGTGCAACACTACTGTAAGCCTCAGTAATAGAAAAAGCAGTCTGTCTGTAAGCATCTGAGTTAAACTTTTTGGCACATAATGCATTTTTTAAGGTTTCCAATATGTTTTGTTATACTTTATACGTATCATAATCAATGTTAATCCAGAGTGCCTTTATAATGTAATTGTCTTTACTAGCAGTAGTAGTATTGGATTCAATACAGTAGCAGAACTAGTATTGTGTGTGTGATATCTGTAGAGTTATATCCAATGCAGAATGTACTAAGACATTTGCATGTGCACACATATTAGGGTCAGTTTAGACAGCAACCAATAAATCTAGCAGACTATCCTTGGAGTGTAAAAGAAAACCCACGTAAGCACAGGGAGAACCTGCAAACTACATGCAGATAATGTCAAGGTTGAGATATGGACCAAGGACCCCAGTAGTACAAGAGATAAGTGCTAACGATTAAGCTGTTGTGCTACTTGTAGTAGTAATACTTTCTAGTGAAAATATACCAAGTACATTACTCGATAATATTGATAACTAAAATATATTATTACTAAATTACTGCAAATGTAAATGTCACTTTCAGTTATTTATAGAAATATATTCAATCAATTATTTACAAGATCTACAACACATAAGGCAATACATTATTTGCATATACAATAACTGTATCATAAATATTCCCACATCTTACAAATTCTAACAAATATGGACTTCGACAGTCAATGTTCAAAGGCCTGCCTTACTTGTGAATCTTGTATTGCTGTAGGGCATCTATGTCTGACATTAAATGCTATTTCATCACATTTGTTTTGGAAAACTACCACTGCAGTTTTCTGTGAACTTTAGAACTTGTTCTACAAAGAGTGCCATGTTATGTGAGACTTGACACAAATTTCACTTGACAAAAGGATGTAATCCTTCTAAAAACACAGCTGAGAGGCAATTCTAACACAACACTTCCAACTAAATATTAATGCAAAGTTTTGCCTGGGGATGAAGATATTATTGCATGTGTCAGAAGTTTTAGTATGGATTTGCCAAGTGTTTTACTGACACACTTTCTGTTCACAAACCATAGTTGACAGTCACAGAGGGAAATTATTTTTATAGTTATAAAATATTCATGATTATGACAGATGGGATACACTCTTTTTTGCAATGCTAGATGTCTGTGGAGGTGTTTTTCATATGATTTACGTTTAAGAAAGTTGGAAAAACTGAGTAAGCTAAAAAATCTTGTAGGCACCGGCATCATCTTCAAGGAACGGCTTGTGTTATACTTTATGGGGGCTTTTGCAAAGATGAGTACCTATTAAAAACAAAATCCATGTCTACAAAAATATATCACACATAGGAAACATGTTGTTATGTATTGCTTATTGTTCTGCACTCATTGTGAGAAATACAAAACACACTAGAGCTTATGAGATGAATTAAAATAATTTACAGTGCATACTGTGGAATAAAGTACAAGGAGAACATACAAGCCTTTTGTCGATATTATTGTTGCCCTCTGAGCTACATGAGTAGAATGTAAATTACTGCAACATTGTATTGCATTTAGATTAACATATATGTGGTCATACGTAATTCTGCTAACAACCTTTGGTTATCATTTACAGTATGCCATGACACATTACATCTTGGTGGCTTAACATGCATTTATGTGGCTAATATATAATAAAAAATGCAAGTGTTTTAGTAAAACTCTTAAAAAGACACCCTGTCACCATCTTTTAGTAAGGTCTACTTATGACATGTCTGTAATGTGTACACTATCTACTCACAAAAACCACCAATGTTACAACGTGTGCAACCAATGCAGAGTTACCAGTGCCATTCATCTCTCAGAAAAAAAACTACAAGTATTGGAAACTTGAGCTTTTGGATTGGCCACTATGCCATCAATCTGCTATTTCTACCACAACAAAACTCAAAAGCTTGAATGTGAAAGCCACTCCGAGTGCCTACTAATCCACAGTGAGACATTAGATTTACTATGCAGCAGCTTTCACTTTTTGTCTTTTGAAAATTTGCTGGCAGAAGAAGTTTTTTTAATCAGATACTTTTTATTACATTTTTACCAATAACAAAGGAAAAGAAAAACAGATACAACAATAATTAAGCAATAAAGCATATAAGTGTGAAATTAGGGCTAGTTCACACCAGCCTCAGTCCCAGTTCTGTCCAGAACGCACTGGATTGCATTCTGGCTGGCTCACTTTGTTTTGGGGTGGGAGGGGGCATGGTGGTGCATTGAACTCAATGGCACCACAGCCATGCCCTCAGACCGCAGTGTGATCAGCCTTATGGGAATGTGTGGCACATCAATGCCTGCATTCTGGTCCGTTGGGCTCAAAAAAATTGTGCATGCAGCACTTTTTCTGGTTGCGCCGGACTGGAACGCAGACATTGATGTGTCACACATTCCTGTGCGGTCGATCGCACTTTGGCCGGAGGGTCTGGCTGCGGTGCTTTTAAGTTCAATCCACCACCAGGCCCCCTCTCATCCCAAAACAAGGTGAGCCAGCCAGAATGCGATCCAGTGCGTTCTAGACAGAATCAGGCTGGGAAAGCACTGAGGCTGGTTTGAACTAGCCCTTGGCCCCTTCCCAGAGTTTGCTTGCAATCATTTATCTATTAACTCCATCGAGGTGACATGTACATTGGAAATACCAGGATGAACTGATAAAGCATCCCTCAGCTGTAAATATTTATAAAGCTGTGTATTATAAAGAGAAAACCCACGCTGCAGTTATTGAAAGGTGCACAAAGAACCTTGCTCATAAATTTGTGCCAGCGTACATATGCCCACCTCTTTCCATTTCACAAATCCTGAAGGTTTAAATACCTCCTGAAGAAGTTTATTAGCCCATGTTGGAATACATTTAGTGAGTCCTGTAAAAGACATCAACAATTTATATTCTTACCAAACTTTACCTATTAACTGAATAGTTGGGGCAGATACCATTATGTCTGCATATCGAGTAGTTTCTAAAGCATACAAGGGGTCATATCTTTTTGGTTGATACTTAATAATATAATAAGATTGATGATGTTCTAATGGCCATTCCCATCCTACTAAATGCTGGAGCTGTGTTTCCAGAAAATATAATAATCGGTTGGGTACTGCCAATCCATCCTTCTCATTTTGATATTGTAAAGTTTCAAATGTAATATGTGTTGTTTTGCCTTTCCAAATAAAGTATCTAAAATTGTGATTTAAACTTAAAAATAAATGATTTGGTACCCAACATGAAGAATTCTGGAAGAGGCACAACAGCTTAGGTAATTCAATTTATTCTGCCAGCTAGTGATAATGGTAGCAAGCTCCAAACCTGCATTTGAGATAAAAATTTATGCAAAATAGGAAATAATGTATTCTCTAAAGAATTAAGAGGATTATATGTTATTTGTATGCCCAAATATAAAAGTGAGTTAACTACAGGAATATGTGCAGCTTCACCTGGTTAAATGGATTTGTATAAGATCCACCAACGAGATAGGATTTATCCCAATTAATTTTCAGTTCTGAATAATAACTAAACTCAGTTATAAGTGACATTGTATTAGCCAATGAGGATTGTGTATCAGCAAGAAATAGTAACGTGTCATCTGCATAGAGTGATATTTTATCTTCTAATGGGCCACATTTAAATCCCTTAATATTTGGAGATAAATGGATTAAAGCCATCAGGGGTTCAATAGCTAGTGCAAACAACAGGGGAGATAATGGAAAGCCCTGCCTTGTAGCTATCTGCAAAGAAAAAGGAGCAGAAAGTATTGAATTTACCCTAATTCTGGATGTCAGCCTAGCATAAAGAAATTGCATCCCCCTCATAAATCTAGAACCGAATGCAAAATATTTAATAACTGCCCACAAAAAACACCATTCTAAGCTATCAAAAGCTGTGGCAATATCGAGAGACAGAAAGGCCCTACCTCCAGGATTGTCTACAGGGACTTGTAAATGAAGAAATCCTCTCATAGAAATGGATTTATTATGCTTGGAGCCCATTTGATCAGGGAGTATCAAGGAATTAATTATTTCAGTCCATCTACAGGTATTCCTCACTTAACGACCGAGTTCCGTTCCTACGACCAGGTCGTTAAACGGATTGGTCGTTAAGTGAGGAACTCTATACAGTACTGTACTGCATTAGTACATTACTGTATAGCGTTGCCGATGTACAGTACCGAACAGTGTAATGTACATCGGGCACTGAAAATACTCACCAGGACCCGCAGTGAAGATCGGAGGACGTCACTTCCCCTGGCGACACGTCGCACTGGCGCTGACGCGCGAGGTCGGAGGTTGCTCGAAGGACGGTCGTAAGTGCGAGTGGTCGCAAAACAGGTAAGTCGTTAAGCGAGGAACATCTGTATTTGCCAATGCATTCGACAAGATTTTAACATCTACATTTAAAAAATAAATTGGTCTATAAGATTCACAAAGTAAAGCATCTTTATCCTTATTGGGCAGGAGCACAATCATAGCTTCATACATGGAGTCTGGCAATAATCCAACATCCAGAGCAGAATTAAAAGTCTGTAGAAGAGCAGGCAATAAACTATTCCCAATTTTTTTATAAACTTTGACGGGGGAGACCATCCATCCCACACCATTAGGGAAACTTGAGACAGCTATATTTAACTCTCGCATAATAATTGGGACCTCTAATTGCTCCTGCTCCTTAGAATACAAGGATGGAAAACAAACTTTCCCTAAAAAACTACGCAAGTCATTTACCAATTATTAAACAGTAGTAGAGTATAGTGGCTGATAAAATTGAACAAATATTGAATAAATCTTATCTGGGGCGGTTGTTATCTGGCACCTAGAGTCTCTCATTCCACCAACATATGGAGCAGTGCACTGTGTGTGGGCGATTTGTGCTAATAAACTCCCAATATTTTCCCCATCTTCCCATTGCATTTGTTTTGCAAAGGGAAGATGGGGAATTTTGGAGAAGAAGTTTGTTTACATGTTTCTGTGTATCATTTCACCTTTAGGAACTTAGAGAGGAAGAATTAGTAATTAATGACGCTTCACATTCAGCTAGCTTAAATCTGGCACCATTCAAGAATTTCTTACTTTGTTTTTATTCTGCTCATTTTTTGTACAAATATCCCTCTTTCAAAGCGTGTCACACAACATTCCTGGATGCAGAACCCACATATAAATCCAAAAAAGCAGTAATAGCCTCCTCTAATACTACATGTTCTGGAATCAAATTAAGCCATAAGGGAATTAACTTCCAAGGCAAGCCAGAATAGTATTTGCCCACAGTAACATTTACATTAGTACTCATCCTGTCACTAATATCCCAGCATGCCAAAAGTAGATGTGGTCCTATTGACTTCCCACATAAAAACAGGTGGCAATAACAGCGGCAAGGAGATAACCTGTGGAACTTCATGGCAATGGATCTTCATCAGCTATGTAACAATACATTTACACTTTACACAAACTATCTACATGCCACCCATAACAGATGTCATAGAGGTTCAGGATAAAGGCCTTCCTAGTAAACTCAGTTTATCAATTATTATAACAAGTATACCTTAGCAATAAAAAAAACATTTTTTTTTCTTTCAGGCAATCCCCAACTGACTAGTTTGGTACGAATCCTTATAAATGTACTGGATGTTAATGAATTTCCCCCTGAAGTGGCAGTGCCATATGAAATATCAGCATGTGATAATTCCAAACCAGGACAAGTAAGGCAAACTCTTTCCTCCCATACATTAAATTACATTAAAGTACTATTCATAACCGTTTAAATGTCTACCAAAACAAGGTTCTGAACAGAACCTTGGTTACCAAAATAAAAATGTTCCAGAGATTTTAACTTTTTTTCCAATCTGTTTTCCAATCCGTGTTGAACTTCAAGTTTTTAAGTTTTATTTTTCCGGTTTAATTAATTGTACAGACATGCCTTTGTAGATGTGTGGACTCCTTGCTTTATATTTTCTGTATACATACTGGCCACAATGTGAAAATATCCACTTTGCAACTGCATCTGACTAGTGCAGTGCATAACTATGCCATCTGTAATGCAGACCCTTTAGTGCATGAAATCAGATCTATTTTGAGTACATTTGACCACAGTGTATGGTGTAGTGAGTATATAGTAACTATTTTAATAGCTAATGTAAGTTTTAAAAGTATATGTAGTGACACCAGTGAATGCTCCACATGGTGGGTGCCCTGTGGGAAATGTGCATTTACCCCAGCATAAAAAAACTCAAACAATATCATACAGCACTTTAGTTTACAGCTTACACCTTACAGCTTAAACAGTATTTTGTTATTAGCAAGTCTGCACATCCAAATTGATATTTCAGTAATGACCATATTCTAGGTTCTTTATTCCTATTGGAATACCAGAAGCAACCCCAGCCAAAACTTTTTGGATAAAGTTAAGAACTTTAGTCAGGTCATTATTGCTGTGTCCTGACTAGGAAGAATATAGTGGATGAAAACCAGCACATCATAAATAAATTAAGTGGATTAAATTTTACCTGCATGGCAAAATGATAATGTTTAGGAGCCATGCAGGACCCCTTCATAAAGGTGACTCCTTGATAAAGGGGCTCTGTGTGGCCCTAAAACATCATCAGTATGTTGTACAGGTAAGGTTTATTCTACTTGCTTCACTTCTGGCATGCTGGAGTTCATCCATTGTTGTCGCATATGGTCCCACCATTGCCTGCACCCAACCCATCACTGAAGGACTATCTGGTATATGTGTGGTTTAGATTTTCTGACAAACCCACTAGAGAGATTTCCCTCAGTTCCTGTCCCAGTAATATTGGGGACCAGGACAAAAAGTGAGGGACAAAGCAGAGGACAGCACAGCAACAATATCTGACAAGGGATGTAACCATTCCCCAGTCTTTTAAGAAATCAATCATGTTTTGGATTGAGTTACATCTTATGTCTACATTGCAGTTGATTTAAGATAAAATCATATTAGCGGTAGCGTAAAAACCTTTTTTTCTGTTTATTTCATGGACCTGTTTCTTGGTTGACAACTTTTGACTTTGATCACTTACTGGTATATATGTCATATTTAACAATATAATTTTAAAAGCAATGATAGAGATGTACTCTACATTTCACTTCCTTCACTTCCCTTTGTTCCCTTACTCTATCTTTGTCTGTTAAAAGCATACTGAATCCTAGAATAAATATTTTCTATCTTTTGTAGAAGCTTGATGTAAGTAGTGTTTACATAAAAAGTAGAAATGTTCTGTACAGTGTGTGATTTCTGCCTGCTTTCAGATCATCCAAATTATTGGCGCTGCTGACAAGGATATGTCACCTGCAGGGCAGAGATTTTCCTTCAGACTGCCCCCTGATGGGTCCACAAACCCCAATTTTACCATCCATGACTATAAAAGTAAGAATCCTGATTACATATATTTTCTATTCTCAAATTTTGAGATGCATTAGTATTTCAGAAAGCAAACAAATATCCTTGATATATGCATGCACACACGGTTGGCATTTTATTTGTTTTCTAGCTCATCACAGCTGTTTTATCATAAATGTATATTTCACAGGAATATCTAACAAATGAAAGTTAGATCTTTATACTAAATAAAAAATATATATATTGTCTCAAATTTCAGCAGTACAGTATTATCTGATAGAGAAGTTATTTGCTTCATAAATATCTCTGGTGTTTTATCATTATTAGTGATTTGTATTGACATGGGTATCACTCAAAAATCCACTGGGGGCCCCTATTTAGAATAAGTGTCTTGTATGAATGTTGGGCACACCCTATGCGACTTTTCCTATTGTGCGTTGGGTTGCCACTCAAAATTCATATGAGCCCTTAGCCAGGCCTGCAGTCTGGGTGGCCAGGAAAGGTGAGGCAGCAAGCATGTGCATTCACCTTTGGAACCATACCAGACCACATGCCCTTATCTCCACAAAGCTGGCCCACTGGATGTGGAAGTATGTGGGGGGACTATCAGGACACATGCCCTGTAGAAAAAAAGCATGGCCTCCACCTCAAGATCTATACTGGGTGCTGATACTGGTTACACAGGGTACACATTTGGAAGGGAAACCTCATAAAAAACATGGCATGGGGACCCCCCAAAATCCATACTAGACCCTTATCCAGGTGTGCAGTCTCATTGGCCAGGAAAAGGAAGAGCAAAAACATGCCACCTTTCTCCTTAACCATACCAGGTCATGTGCCCTCAACATGGAGAAGGTACCTTGCCAAGAATTTATCCTACATGGATGACTAAAGGGTACATAGTACCCCTTGCTACTCATTCACAAAATAAGTATATAAACCACAAACACACTGTTAAGAAAAGCAAGTCCCCTAATGTAAATCCAATGTCAACCATTTTGTTCAGTGTTGTAGATCCATCACCATTCATGATGAACAATGCTCCAATGACTTGACAATTGTTTTTGGCCCCATTATGTCAAAAGATACCAGGATCTTTTCACATTATCATACACAATTTTACATACTTTTCTGCTCTGTAATACACACTTTTGTGTATTACTGGTTTGGACTCTCATTAACTTCAATCGCAAATCTGGTTTGTAAATTCTGAATTTCCGTGGGTGGCAAATTCTTGAAGAGTTCAAACCAACAGCAATTAATCAAGCTTTTTTGAAGTATGTTCATCTTTAATTTTCATACCTGGGTCATGAAGTTTAAAATATACCCCTCTTCTTTCTGTAGAAAACAATTTCTTTCAAAATTATCTTTCTGGAAACACAGACAGTATGGGGGTGATTTACTAACCTAAACACACACACACACACACCAGGTGTGTGTGATTTTCACACAGCAAAACGTATTTATCAACCAAAAAGTCTCTAAAAGCATATTTCCACTAATGCCATATATGGAAAAATCATGCACATGATGCATATATAATGCTGCTTCACAGTTTAGACAAAAATGGTTAGCTCATGCATTTACATTCCTTGCATTCATCAACACAGGCAACACAACATAGAGCTAATTTACCCAACATCACCTTGGAATTTCTTCAGGGCTTTGCACAACACACCTGCTGGGTGTGTACACATTACAAAGGTGTTTAGATTCCACCCATAGATCATGCTGGGAGGGAACACACTGCAGAGGTGTATACACGTTCGTGGTGTGTTTATAAGGTTAGTAAATCAACCCCTATGTGTTGCATGACACTTCATGCAAATGTTCTACTATGGCAGCTCTGAATTGCTGTGAAGTAGTGACACTTCTTGGCAGTGAACAAATGACGGACAACTTACCAGTTTACTTTCCTAGCAAGATAGTAGTGGGACCACCCTTAGGCAGTGAATCAGGACTTCTGGAACCCCCTGTGACCTATTGTCATTAAGATTAAATTAGAATCCCATTTTGAGCACTCTGGCGCTTTTGGAAAGATTTTCCCTCTCTCTGTGATGTAATTTACCAAATAAGAGTGCAAGCAGTGAACTGCTTAATTTGTCCTTTACCAGCTCACAGAGAAAATTGTTTCATGGCAAAGCAAATTGCTGCTTCTAAGTGAACCTTGGCTTAGCATTAACAGATGCATTCTCTTCTGACTTAGCATGATCCCTATCTTACGCTTATCCCCATTTTAGGATTCATCATAGAGCAACACAAAATTAACTTGCATTTTGCTTAGTGTTCATGTCTAGCAAGCCATTTGATAGAATATCCTTTCCATGGCATATGTATATGTGTGTAGGTCTGCCTGGTGCGGTTTCATTTGTGTTAGGTCTATAAGCACCAATGTTCAAGAATAAACCCCTGCACGAACAAGCCCTAAATCAGGTTTTTATCACATTTGGACTTGAAAACCTCAGAGTATGTCACTTATCTGTCTTAGTGCACCATTTATTACTAAACATATTATCTTAAATACGCTGGAGGGGACAACTGAGACATAGCGATTAGAGCATCTTTTTTAGAAGTATCTTATGCCAAAAAAGAAAAGTAATGTCATGAAAAGGGGAAATTTCAAATGTACTTTGTTGTGTATAAATGTCACAAATAGCAGCATAGTGATAAATGGAGCTTCAGGAAAAAGGCCAAACACACTGATTCCTGTAAAAAAGTGTTCTGCACAGCAATAATTCAAAAACCTTAGAATTTCAGTTTGATAAAAAGAAAATCACTCTAAAAGGAGTCTTAAATGTTACAAAAGACAATATATGTTTTTTTTTCATATAGATTACAGTAAATAAGATCATTAATACATACCCTCCTAATGCATTCTTGTCATAAAACTGTAACATGTTTAAATTTAACATTTGATTAAAAGATACAGAGGCCTTTAGTAAAGGTTAAAAGAGTGGGATTTATTTTCATTTTAAGTTGAATGTAAAAAAAGATTGTGAAAGGAAAAAAAGTATGTTATTTACCAAATGTAACTAACATTAAAAAAATAACTGTATTTATTTATTTTTCAGATAACTCGGCTGGCATTGTTGCTCAGAGACATGGGTATAGTAGAAAAGAGAAAGAATTCTACTTTCTCCCAGTGGTGGTAGAGGACAGCAGTTATCCAATTCAAAGCAGTACAAGCACACTGACCATTCGAGTATGCAGATGTGATTCAAAGGGAGTAGTCCTTTCTTGCAATGTGGAAGCTATTTTTCTACCAGTTGGTCTAAGCACAGGAGCTTTGATAGCAATTTTACTGTGCATTATCATACTTTTAGGTGGGTTTTGACATATATATTTTCACCTATAGTTTAGATGAGCTTTATTGTAGAATAAACCATTTCCACACAATATATACTATATTTCTATATACTAGTTATACACATGCTGTTCAGTTTTAGCTATGCCTTTTTTTACATAGTTACATACAGTAGTTAGTTAGGTTGATAAAAGATGCACATTCATTAAGTTCAACCAATAGAGAAATAAAAATAATAAATAGAAACCCCCCATAAACAGAATCCTATGTCCACGTTTACCCCCAGAAGATCCAGAGGGAGGCTAAAACAAACCCTTAAAAGGCACGGTTCAATTTGTTTCAACAGGGGAAAACAATTTTTTCCTGATCCCCTAAAGTAATTGGATATTTACTGAATGAGCAATCGCTGGTCTTATTACTTATAAAATGTTAATGTCCAGTTATATGCTGTGCATTAAGGAATGCATTCAGATTTTTTTAAAGCAAATAACTGGGCTGTCTAGAACTAGTCCTTCAGGTAGCCTATTTGACATTTGCACACCTCTTACTGTAAAGAAGCATTTCTGTATGCAAAACGTGCTCCCTTTTCTTTTGCAATGACCTTAAAGTAAATAATTTTGCCCCAAGTCCACTGTTTAGACACTTTTTATGTTTATTCATGGTAATCATATCCCCCTTAAATGCCTCTTCACAAGAGAGAATAAATTCAATTCAGCTCAGCTTTCCTTATAGCTGAGTTCCTTCATGCCTCTTATTAGTTTAGTTGTTCTTCATCTGTTTTGTAAAGTGGTGCCCAAAAATTAACTGCATATTCCAGATGAGGTCTTTCTAATGCTTTTACATGGGCAATATTAGGTCTTTCTCTAGAATCTCTACCTCATGCAATACAAGAAAGTATTTTAAACCTATAAACCTTAACTTAGACATTAGCCATCTGTAGGTAACTGTGTCAAAGCTTAAGTATACTATATCCACAGCCAGTTATCTGTCCTGGTTATTGCTTACTTTCTCATAAATTAAAGTAGATTTGAGTCAAGGACCTGTTGCCTGTATCCTGTTCCTGCCTTGTACCCTGACTTGGACCTGACTCCTGACCCTTACCCCTGAGGTCTCTTGATCAGTGGCTCCCCCCTTGTTGTCCTGCTCCCCAAGGTTTGCCCTGTTGTCTCCTGGGTATAATTGTTACTTATATTTTTATATGTTACTTGCGGGTTGGTGGGGGTGCTTATGGTGGTAGCACAGTGGAGAAAGTAAGAGGAAATGGTTCACTTACTTTAAGAGGTGGTGGTGTTCTTCGAAGTAGCTAATAAGGTACAGGTCATAAGCATTATTTGGTGTGGTCACATATTTGGTTCTCCTGTATAGATAACTGCACAGGGTGTGGGGACACCCATGCATGGTATATTGACATAATACTAAAGCACAGGCCTCACTGCAAGGAAAGGCTAAATACCTCCCCAGACCAGCACCAGGTGGTGACTAATTGCTGGGGAGACACTCGCAGGTGAGCATCGGAACTTCAGGTTACAGCACGACAGTGCCACCCAGAGGTGGTCTGGTACCTGACAGCTACTGGCTGGAGACACCTGCAGGTGAGCTCTGGAACTGCAGGTTCTGGTTCCAGCACCACAGTGCCACTTTAAGGTGCTCCGGTCCCTGACAATTTGTTGACAATTTGTTTGACAACTGTGGCCTTTTGTGAAACCATGCTATCACTTATTATATTGTTTTTAAGAAAAAACTCACGTATGTGGTCTTTTGTCAAGCTCTGAAGTAACTTTCTGACTATAAAAGTTTCACTTACAGGTCTGTAGTTACTTGGTAAAGACTTTAATCCCTTTTTAAATATAAGCACCACATTGTCCTTGGTACCAAGCAAGTTATTAAACAATCTCTAAAAATTAGAAACAATGGTGTTGAAATAATAGATCTCAACTCCTTTGAGGACCTGTGGGTGTAAGCAATCTTGTCTAGGTACTTTGTTCACCTTCATTTTTTCTTTTTTGGCCAATCAGTTTTAAGTCGTTTGAGGCTGTGTTACTTTCATCCCCATTAGAGACTTGAGTTCATCCATGTTCTGTATACACGAAACTGAAGAAGGCATTTAATAGATTTGCCTTCTCTTTATCCATAGTCACCTATTCTGAGTTATCTTGTATGGGGCCTACATGCTTATACCTGATCTTTTTACTATTAATATATTTAACAAAATATTTAGGGTTTGTGTTTCTCTCTTTTATAACCTGCCATTTGTTTAGAATTTTAGTGATATTTATTTAACTATTATTTCTTATATTTTTTTATATTCTTTGTAACTTTCAAATGATGAAAGTGTTCTTTTTTTATATTTTTTATATGCCCTTTTCTTATTCTTTATTTTTTCAGCATTAGATGTAAGCCAAATAGGTTTTACTTTTGTACTATTAAACTTATTGCCTCCAGGGACATATTTTGCAGAGTGTTTGCAAAAAATTGATTTGAAACATTTCCATTTCTGTTCTGGGTTTTGATGTCAATATTTCCTCCCAGTAGAAGTCTTGCAGAGCAGCCCTAAGAACTAGAAAATGTTCTCTCCCAAAATTAAGTATATTTATCTTTCCAGTATGTTGTCCTTGTTTACAAATTAAGTTAAATTAAATCATATTATGGCCACTGCTACCCAGATTTTCTTTTATATGAACATTTATGCTTTGTTTGGGAGTATCAGGTTAAGTAGAGCATTTGTAGTTGGGACTTCAATAAACTGTACCATAAAATGATCTTGCATTAAGCTTTGAAATATCTGCACTGATATGTTGTCCCGCAAACTACCAGTAGAAGTAGTAGCCAACTCTTTGATAGCTTTTTATTTTATTGCTGCTGAGATCAATCTCACCCTTCAACTCTTATTTTCTTTTTCAACCAGATGTCACTATTCATTTATCCAAATAGGATTTCCAAATGTTTTTCACATTAAAAATGTGTTTGACTTAAATTTCTGAAGACAGACTTTTCAGGATTCATTACAACTTTCCAAATTTTCTAAAAAAAATATATATTATGCATGAAATTATTGAAGGTTCTGTACATTTATAGATTTTTTTTCCTGTTTTTTAGTTATTGTAGTACTCTATGTAGCATTACGAAGGCAGAAAAAAAAAGATGGCCTAATGACCTCAAAAGAAGATATAAGGGACAACGTTATACATTATGATGATGAAGGAGGTGGAGAAGAGGACACACAGGCCTTTGACATTGGTGCCCTGAGAAACCCAAAGGTTATTGAAGACAATAATGTCCGCAGAGACATAAAACCTGAACCTTTGTGTTTGCCTCGTCAAAAACCACCAGCAGAATATAACAGTGACATCAGAGATTTTATAAATGAAAAGCTTCAAGAGCATGATGTGGACCCAAATGCTCCACCATATGACTCATTAGCTACTTATGCTTATGAGGGTTCAGGATCTGTGGCTGAATCACTAAGTTCTATAGAGTCACTAAGGATGGAGACAGATGAGGATTATGATTTTTTAAGTGACTGGGGACCACGTTTTAAATTCTTGGCAGAAATGTTTGGGGAGGAAAACTATAATGCTGGCAATATTACTTAACTTATAGATTGAAAATGACCAACAATCAAGAAGCTTTATCAAGACTATGTAAAAAAAACAATTTTATACTAAAATGCTACAATATTTATCATACTGTCAGTTTTTGTTTGTTTCACAGCTGGAAGGTTGATCCTGTAATGAAATAAAAATGTTTTTGCTATTTTTCATTGAAACTGAGAAAACTCAGGTGTGTTATCTACAATTTACTGAAATGAAACATTGAGAATAAATGTAATTTATTGGCATTATGGTGGAAAGAGAGGAAGATTTTCTTAATTCCACTGAAGTGCCTGCTGAAGCCTTTGTCCTGATATATGAAGTGAAAATTAGGACAGAATTTTAAACACAAATGTGATGTCAAAGACATGGCAGAAGCAAATATTTTACTTACTATAGATATACCCAGCTAGTCATCATCTTGAAAAACTCTTGCATTTCAGTCTCTGTGATGTCTCTTCTTTCACATGTTCATCCTTTGATTGAATACTATGCAATCATCAGCAAAATAAAGTTAAAAAAAATCACAATAATGTATTTTAATAATATTTTGCTTTAGTATACAAAATAATGATATAGCTGCCGGCAGTATCTTATTGGAAAATATGTAAAGTATATGCTTACTGATGACAAAATAGAAAGTTTTTCAGCTATTGACTTTAAAAGAAACAATAAGGAAACAAAATTAGATGACATGTTAAAAATTATAAATAACAATCTGATCAAAGTATCACCTACCTTTTGATATTCAGAGCAATGCCCAAGGTACTTACATTTAAAGAAAACCTTTGCTATGATAAATATAGGGTTTCCAGTGCAAAACACTTTCTAAGAAAACTAGTGTCTGTTTGTATGTGGCTTTAATACTTTCTGAGTTACTGACCTGGAACAACCATACATATTGAAATATCAGAGTGAAGTCAGAACTACAATCTGATCTTCCAGATCTACCTATTAGTTCTAAGTGTGTGCTTCAGAAAGCATTATGATCATTGGATTAGCATTACAAATAGGCAACCTTTAACAAATATCAAAAACTAGAAATACTTTTCCAAAAGGTTGTCTGAACCATATATCAAGTAAAAATAAGGTGAAATAATTCAAAATACCACCCCCCCAAGCTTAGACCTTACAAACAGTGGGTCCCATGTGTGCATTTACACTTGCCTGAATTGTAAAGTACAGTGCACTTTACAGGACCATGCCCTGTTTACATTCTTTGCATTGCACTCAAAAAAAATACCAAGTCATTACAATCCTTATGTTGATGGCCTTCTAAGTATCTGCCTATAGCTAACCTAAATCCATTTACAATAGAAAATCTGCTGCTCTGAACTGAGAAGAGCTATTTGAGGTGTTCTTGTTCTTGGATGTGCAAACACACATTTATTTTGGAATACATTCTTTGGAGACACTTAAAATATGTTGGAACAATTCAAAATCTTAGATGAGCCTGAAGTATCTTATAACTCCTAAGTATAAACTCTGATCCAGGGGGCAGATAAAAGGAGCTTCTGGCATGCCTTCTTCAGTTTGCTGCCCTGATGGCCCTATTAGAATGGGTGAATTAAAAATATTGTTTAATATATAAACAATAGGTATTTGGTTTTACATAAACTAAATTGGTCTGTGAAGTACTAGAGTGCCAAAATGAAAAATCAGATTATACATTTTATGGCGTTGTGTTACTGAATTGACTCCTAGGGCAAAAGTATCAAAGTCAAATATTATATGTGTAATAAATGTGCTGGCAGTGTGGCTTAATAAGAAAATGTTGTTTATGAGAATGTCTTGGAGTAGATAATGACCACTGTGTGTATTTTTTCCATTAAACACATTAAAAGGCTCAGTATTAGAATTTTCTCAGGATGTGGCACAGCAGCATCAGGCCCAAAAGTGCCACTACTGAACCTTTTTTTGCGGGGGTGAAGTAACATAACAACCATATCATTACAATTGTCCATCCCTGGATTGAACAGGAGATGATGGCAAATGAGAAATCTAATAATAAATGTATTTTAAAACTGCAAGAAAACATAATTGATTTCTAAGCTTAAACTTAAAAGGATGACTGAAGAAAGCAACATAAATATTGTACCAATTATTTTTTGCAGTGGCATTATAGAACATCAACAGTATCAGCACTATCATCTAGCATGGAAGCTAAAGAGAAATTTTTTTCTTTTATATTTTTTTCTAGTATACTGCAGCACCACATCAACTATATCACAGCATTCACAATTAGCATGTTGAATCAGGCAGGAAGGCTAATGATAATGAAAAAATAAAAATATCTAAGGCACTATGTTGTCAATGGCCAGCCATGTCAGACCCAAATTAATAGGTTAAGATGTGATTCGCTACATAAGCTTTCACACCTACAAGTATCTAATTATGAGGATGCAATTACAAGATATTTTAGCTCAACACAACAGAATATGTATCGGTATAACTGTCGAACACAAAGGAAAATTATTAAACATGCAAAGACATGTTAGCAAAGTACATGGACAGTGATATATATATATGTATATATATATATATATATAAGACAAATGAAAGTACAGACATCTATATATGCGATGAGGGAAAACCTGTATATTTACAAGTTAAATATCATGTGAGGGCCCCATTCTAGTGGTCCAAAAGACTAACATTTCCCTCCAAAGCTTGGACTAATATGGACTGGATGTTTATCAAATGCCTTTTGTTACAGCATGTAACCCCTTTCTATGCAAATCTTTAATTTTCCCTCCAGATTCTGGAGGGAAAATTACAAATGTGCAGGTGTTTGTAGGCTAACTTCAGGTCACGATTGTATGTTTATGAGGGAAGACACCCTAATTGTTTATCTAAATACATGGATCCTTTGAATATATTTGCCAGAGACATACATTGTCTAGATAAACCATCCTGAAGCCTGTCTATTGTTCTTGTCGTGACCATTTGCAACTAACAGGTTACGCCTGGGCAGATCCATAATTTTATTAAAAATCCTCCTTTATTCAATCCCCCAGGACAGAAAATACATCTTTTTTTATTACTCCCATTCAGTCATCCAACAAAGAATATATTTAATTACAAAAACTAAATACATACAGGTGAAACTCGAATAATTAGAATATCGTGCAAAGTTCATTTATTTCACTAATGCAACTTAAAAGGTGAAACTAATATATAAGATAGACTCATTACATGCAAAGCAAGATCATTCAAGCCGTGATTTGTCATAATTGTGATGATTATGGCTTACAGCTCATGAAAACCCCAAGAACCCCAAATCCACAACCTCAAAAAAGTAGATTATTACATGCAATCAATAAAACAAGGATTGTACATAGAACAATATCGGACCTCTGAAAAGTACAAGCATGCATATGTACTCAGTACTTGGCTTGGGCCCCTTTTGCAGCACTTACTGCAATTACTTTTGCACGATATTCTAATTATTCGAGTTTCACCTGTATGTTCATGGAGATTGTACATAAACCTAATATGGTAACAATGTGGACTGAGTACATTGTACATTAACTGAAGAGATTTTGAAGGTCACTACATTGCAAAACCACTGGCTCCTCCCACTGGACCAGCGCTGACTTGCTGCTGCTCTCCCGCACAGCGCTGACTACGATCTCACCAGCGAGGCACATTGTGAGGCACCGGCCATCATCGAACAGTGAGTGAGGGCAAGCGGGGTCCCTATTAATAACATATTAATATTAGCAGAGGATAATTGTAAATCTATTGTCTGCAGTGTGTGCTCTATATGTGCAACATGTAGAGCACACACTGCAGACAATAGATTTACAATTATCCCCTGCTAATATGCATGGATTAAATGATCCATAGTACATAATAGTACATAACATGTAGTTGTATTATGGATCATTTAACCCATTCATGTTAGCCAAGGATAATTGTAAATCTATTGCTGCAGTGTACTCTATATGTAGTACATTTATACAGTACATATTCCCAATGCACTGCAGCAATAGATTTACAATTATCCTCTTTTAATAGTAATAGGTTAAATAACATGTACAACTACATGTTATGTACTATGGATCATTTAACCCATTCATGTTAGCCAAGGATAATTGTAAATCTATTGCTGCAGTGTACTCTATATGTAGTACATTGTACATGTATGTTAAACACGTCCAGTAAACTGCAGAGATAGATAGATAGATAGATAGATAGATAGATAGATAGATAGATAGATAGATAGATAGATAGATAGATAGATAGATAGACACACAAACAGGTATTTGTCATAATGTTATGAAGGTGAAAAGATACATATATAAATTATAATTGATTTACAAATGGCAAAACTATTTAGTCAATGACATAGTAACAGAAGAATTTCTGACATATAGAAAAGAGCATTGAAAAATATATGACTGTGATGAATGACAATGATATGTTGCTATATATGAAGTCAGAATGACCAAGAACTGTTAGTGAATATGAAATATGTCTTACCTGCAATGATGAAAGATGATGATGAAATTATTACACCTTGCTCTCCACCAATTCAAAGTGCCTGTGCCAACACAGCTCAGAATTTGAATGCAGTAAAGGCAGACTTGGAAATCAAACAGAATTTTAGGAGTCATTGGATTTCTGTTGGAACCAACTGGTATTTTTAGAAGTAAAATATGTAAAAATGTGCACATATTGCAGAGACGTATGTATATATACATACTGTATATACTGTATGTTAGGATGAGACTCATGTACGTACCAAAACTGAAAATCTGTAAGTGTTCAGACTGTTGAGCTACAACACTTCATCCACACATCCACGCTTCATATTAAATGCGGGTATCACAGACTACTTTTTGTCAATGCTTCTCATTTATTTGCAATATATTTAACAAATTGTAGTTACCAGGAGCAACAGTTTGGGGCAATAAAGCCTGCCTCTTACAAGTGTCCTGTGGTGCTGCATAGCCTTGTTTGATATACAGTATATACTGTATATATATTTGGATTTTGTTGTTACCATAAAATCCTTTTCTCACTGTCCATTGAGGGAAACAACTCTAAAGAATATTGAAATGTAGGGTAAGCAGTCCAAACAGAGGGATGGGCAGCAAATCTACTAAAGCACTAGCTCAACAAAAAAATAAGTGTAAAAGTGCACTTAAACAGCTGCCTGAAAAACTTTTCTATCAAAACTAGCATCAAAAGAGGCAGAAACATCAACTTAATAAACATTTTCAAATATGTGAACAGCAGACCAGGTTGCAGCCCTGCAATTTTGAGTAGCAAAAGCTTGATTTTGAAAAGTCCAAAAAGTACTAACTGCCCTAGTAGAACAATCAGATACCCTGTCCCGCAACTCATAAGCTTGAATTACAAGCTATTAAAGACTAGAAACAGTGGAGCTAGAGGTTGAACAACCTTTTCTAGGCATTTCTGGAAGAACAAATACAGGTGAAACTCGAATAATTAGAATATCGTGCAAAAGTTCAT